GTTCTTATATTTTGAATATCACATAAGCAATTAAACAAAACGGCTATAATGCTAGTGCTCTTCTCCACCTTCATAAAACCCAAACTACACAATTTAATGATGCTATATATTTTAACATGACCAAATGAAAGTGGTGTAAAGAAGTGTATCTTCTCCAGGGGTACCTAATAATAGCAGTGAATTCAAGTAATAATAATCCTCCGCATTTCAGCATTACATTTTTGAAAATGCTGTGCATCGTTCAGTCTCACAGCATGTGGAATAAATAGTGATGTGGGCATATTCAAGAAAGCTTTAATAATTTTGTGTTTAGATCTGTAATGATGGCAGGGGAAGACGGCCATGGTGTGCAACCAGAGATTTGTAGATACTTTGTTGTAGGCTGTTGCTAGATATGTTATCTTTCAAGGGCAGAATATTTCTGCAAAGGAAGGTTGCGAAATCTGCCAGAATAAGAAGATTGGCTGAAAATGTTCAGGATCTTCAGTGTATGGTCTTCATTTTGTGGTGCCCAATACAGGCTGAAGTGTGTAGTTCCTTTGTGGTTTGTGTTACATCCTCTTTGCAACAGATCAGATCTTTGCATATCATCAATCATAACCGCTGCCACTGTACAAATACCCTGGTATGAATCCTAGTGTGTTGAAAACTGTTCGTATGCTTTAGAGAAGTATAACTGCATAGTCACAGTCCTGTTTTCCAAAAGACCAGGAAGTTCACTGTTTTTTGAAAAAGGGGAAAGGGTACTTGCAGGCAATGCAGTGGCTGACTACCTGTAGTGTAAAATAGTTGTTTTATTGGGTTCGGTAAGGTCAAACATCCTGTGAGTTAAGAATGGCTTGTTGGTAATTTTAGTACATTTTCTTGAGACACAGTTAGCTATTTAATCTTTTTTTTTTCAGATGTCATGTGCACCTTACTCTTGCATGTGTTCTGAGCTGCTGGAATATTACACTGAACAGTTACTCAGCTGCAGCCAGGAACCTTGGAGACCTTGGAGATATCCACAGTTTTATGCCGGAGAAAATATTATGTCAGTGTCGGAGATAAATTAATTTGTCATACTAAATGTCTTCCACTGTGTTTCAGAAATTTTTAAATGGTGCTTTCAGAGAGACACTTTTACTTTATTCTCTTCTGTAAGGAAAACCATAAATTTTGTGTTTTCGTGGCCACAACGGTTGGAAAACTTGAGCCTACTCTTGCTAGACTTTCAGTTAAAATCTGAAACAGCTGTATTGTTTTTATTAGTTCATCCAGCACTCAATGCTGCTACTTTAAAATCAGTGCTTTTCTTTATATTTCAATTTTTCAAAGCTCTTAATAGGAGTTTTAACTCCCAAGAAGACTGTCTAATATCCTGTAAGAGGTTGAATCTGTGTTCCAAGGACAAAACTTATTCTAAGTGGTATGTGGAGCTGTCCTTTGTTGCTAACTGGACAGCCGTATCTGCTGAGTAAAGTTCGTTATCCTTTCTGGAAAAAGTATTTGTGTATTTTGTGATGAAGTGTTTTGTAACTCTTGCAGACATATTGGTCTTCCTTGCTAAAACATCAAGGCAGATGTCTTTCTTAATGAAAATTGTCAGGATAAGAGGTTATAAGCTGTAATAGTCTTTATTGAATAATGTTAATAATTAAAATACACCATTAAGAATCAATTCCTTGGTCATTGCAATTTTGTTTCAGCAAACCCTGGAATCTCTTGGTTTTCGTTTTCCTTTTTCACTAAAGCTTTCACTACTTGCTACTCAGAGAGCCTGACTTTTTTTTTTTTTTTTTTTGCCTGTGCTCTTCACATTTTCTTTTTCAGGCACTGATGCCTCCCTCCCTCTCTGTCCTTGAGTGCTGTCATCTGGAATTTCACAGTGATTAAACAATGTGTTGCCCTTGCGATGCTACTGTTCTCTGTAGCCTCTTGAACTCTAGTATTTTCATCTTCTGTCTGATTTTCACTGTTTTTATGTGAGTGGATTACAGCTCTGGGTTCTACTGCCACCACTTCGGTTTCCTTGATCCTGAAGAACGTTTCTTTTGTCTCGTTTGAAGCTTAGTTTTCTTTTTTTGCTTCTGATTTGTGTTTCTTAGCTTCTTACTCATTTTAGTTATAGGCCTCAGAGGCCCCTTAGAAGGGCAAATCACAATTTTGCTGCCTAACTAGTCTAAAAATATAGCCCATAATATACTGTACAGAATTTCATCTGCTTTTATTCCTGTGATGGAACTCTTTCAGTAAGTTCATCTAGTCTTCCTGTGGCTTTCTACTTTAAGGAAGTAATTAGAAACAAACAAAATGATAAATACCTGACCTCTTTGTTGCCCTTTTAAAAGCTGCTTTGCAAATTTGTTTGCTAAACACTTGTTTACTGTGCCAATAAACAATTGTAAAAATGGTTTTACAAGTTATTGTAGGATTTAAGGTTCTCATAACTAGGTTGCTGCAATGCATGTGTCGGTCTTCTGTGCACCATTAGGTTATTTTGCACAGGTGGTGGTTTAGTTGAGGCTCTTATGGAAAGGACTTTTTGGTTGCTGTAATTCGGATTATATTTAGGTGATATCATTACCTGCATGCAAAGTGTCTTTTTGCTGGGTCATGCAAAGTACCAAAGATTTTTCTGGGCACTATGTTT